GCCCCGGCTTTGCAGGGAAGCCGATTTACTGTCGGGGGGTTTGGGTTTTTTTATCATTATTATTATTTTATTTTTTTCCTTTCCTCTTTTTTTTTTTTTTTCCCTCCCCCTTCCCCACCACTCTAGTTATTTTCGCCACCGCTCCGCGCACTCACGCTCTCCTCGGTGCCAGTCCCGGCTCCATCACGTGCGGCAGCCCATGCCCATCACAAAAGCAGGCATTTCACCCGAGCCCAGAAAAAGAAAAAAGAAAGAGAAAGAAAGAAAGAAAGAAAGGAAAAATCCCACGGAATAGCGAAGAAAACGCGGGCGAACCGCTTAATCCAAGACGAGCCAAGATTTCCGCTCCACAGCCTCCTCCCTCCTCGCCGTCGTCCCCCTCCCCTCTTCCCTTTTTTCTTTTTTGTGGTGGCGGTGATGGTGCCGAGGGAAGTGGTTAACCAAAGAGCTACGTGCCGGTTGTGGATGTCCCCCCAAACCACAGGCGCACATGAGGTCCCTCTCTTGCCCCTCTCCGCGTTTGCGGGAAACTGGCTTTGCTCTTTCTCTCTCTCCCTGTACTGCAGATATTTTTTCCTCCTCTCCTCCACACTCTTCTGTTTATTTGGCTGTAAGGCAGAGCTACTTTGTAAACATCTCACACAGAACCCCAGAGCCTTTCCAAATAGCTGATTGCAGCAAAATGCCTCCAAACAAATTATGGTGCAAGGGGGCGATGGGGGGCGAGACCGAAGAGGACAAAAAAGAAATAAATTTGCATAAATATGCATATGTGACATCGAGATCGCGTATGATGGTGGAGACGGCAGAAAGAAAGTATCGCTTTATAACGATGCGAAAAGTAAAAGCCCAGACGACTGCAGCAAACTGGTCGCCCTTTTCCAGAGTACCAAGTGACACACCTCTCCCTCTCCCCCCCCCCCCCCCCCCCGGCGGGGGGGGGGGGGGGGGGGGGGGGAACAAAGGGAGAAAAGGTACTGAAAAAGAATGAAAATGAACACGCAAACGGTAAATCCAGCACTCCTACCTTAACACTGCAATTGCTGCAGATAATAAGGGTCTTTTTTACATAGCCAGGAAATCCTCACAGGGTATCTCACAGCCGGAATTATTCACACACAGTTCCTGCTCTCCTTTTTGGAATCCAACGCAATTTGCTTCTCCAAAGGAATGCAACGGCCACGAAGAAAAAAAAAATAAAAATAACAACAGGAAAAACAACAACACGGGATTTGAAGGAAACTCGTGCTTGCGGTTGTAAGCGACCTACATTCAGGCAGAAAATTCGTTACAATCAGTGCGAGAGGGAGAGTTGGGTCTGCGAGTACTTGCTCTGATTGCCTATGCAGAGAGACAGAGACGGGCAGAGAGACTGATCTGCAAGGAAAAGAGAGCTTGAGGAGGGAGAGAGAGAGAGGTCCAGGCTGTACCAGGCTCTCTCCTTCTGCTATTGGACCAAACTGAATGAAATTTCCCCAGCCGGCAGCCAATAGCTCTCCGCAGTCTGCCCCATCGCTACAGAAACCGTATCTCCATCCACACAACCTCTTGCAAAAAGCATCTAATCCGAGTGCAGAGCAGCGGGGACAGAATTATCCAGGGTGCCTGCCCGGTTGAACAGGTGGGCGTTTTACACGTGTGGAAATGAAAGTGAGTTATGTGGGTTAGGGAGGAAATCACACAAAATATCACGCAATTCGTACTGTTGCTCTTCCTGCTCCAATATCTCACACAAGTGCAGTCCTTGTTAACCCTTGAAAGCTGCAGTTTCTATAGAGGGTTGTTAAAGTGGCAGCAGTACCAGCCTGTTGTGATGAAATTTACTCATACTACCTATCAATCACTGAACTGTTTTGTTCCTGTTCTCCTTCCTCCCATACACAAATAGGCATTTGTCCAGTGCCCAAATGTTTCAGATAGATTTTTTTCTGTTTTCTTTCTTTTTATTTTTATTTTTTTCCACAAGGAGATGGGCTGCTTAAAGTCTTTATTTTAGTTAGCTAACCACTATTGTGAAGGTCAAGTATAAGAGCTGAAGAAGGGACCCTGTGGTTATTGTGAAGTACTACAATACAGCATCTCTGGTTCACTTCTTGCCTATGATTTCAGACTGAGGGTGGTGTAACAAATATGTGCTCAGGCCTCCAAGAGATGCCTTGTTTCACTTCACAGCATGTTCCTTTGGTCAGTTAATAATAGCACTTAATATTACCCAAAGTGTGCAATCCTGAACTGAAACCAGGTGAGGATTGTCTGAGTTCTCCCAACTAAGCCAAGAACAAGAGGGTAAAGGGGTCTTGACAATCTTTTCATAATTTGAAACAAAAATCCAGTGCATGCCTTGATGAGACTTCCTGTCACAAGACATAGATTAGACTTCATACCCTGAGTCTTTAGCATTTTCAAACACTGAAAAACAAATCTGCAACTCTTTTAGTTACCTGCTTTATTTTGCTTTGTTCTAGGTTCTTTGTTTCTGCCACCGTAGCTGATTATCTCAGATCCTTAGAACAGAACGGATGACACACATCCTCACATCTGGATTCTGGCTCTGATGTTCAGTTTGTCATTTCTATGTCTTCCTTTTTTTTTCAAGTGGTAAAGGAATATATACTATTTTATTTAAAGACACCATCTAGCAGAGAGCAGTAGGCCAGTTATGTGTGTATTCTTCTTATACAGCTCCTTCAGTATCACCTTAGGAAGGCACATTTTGTTTTAAAATGTTGTAAGTCAAAGTATAGATGTAATTCACTGACTTAAATAAAGCACTAAGCAATGCAACAGCTACCTTAAATTGTTAACTTATTTGCCAGTGAAATAATTATTTTTCTATGACTTAATTATATGTTTTGCCTTACTTATTTTAAGTGGCTCTAGTAGCAGGTGTTCACGCAAGTGAATTTTACTGCTTTTGTTATTTTAATAACGCACCCGGAATGTGCAACCAATCATATTGCTTGACTGAGTGAACATTTTGACACATTTAGAAAAGATGTCATCTTGCACTGCCATCTGTCCCAAATTTTGCAGGACAGTCTTTATTTTGATGAGTATGTCATGCATTTTACAAGATAAATTTGGAGAATATTAAAGTATGCACTAGTTAATTTGACTAATGATCTTCCACCTGTGTTGGAATATCAGGAGGCAATTTATTTTATGTTATCATAGGATCACCTCTAGTGTTTGCAGCTCAGTCCCAAATATCCATAAGTACATCAATAAAACTAAACTTTCCATAGACTCTACACAAGTATACGATCAATCAAAAGTGAAAAATCTCCCTTTCCTCTCCCTTCCAGCTGAAACTGGAGAAAAGGAGTTAAGTAAAGGGCATTTGGTCAGAACAGTATAATTAACTTTTCTCCTCTCACAACTTTCAAAAAGCTAAATGTACATCTGAAAGTTGTGGCTTACTTGGGAGGGCATCTGCAGCAATACATTGCATATTTATAACAGTAAGCAGGAGACCAGGAGCAATCATTCAGAGAGAAGAATGCCACTTGCTAAATAATACCATCATTTGTTACAAGGAGGCATTGTGTTCTAGTATTCACCCAACTTGACTCTACTTGTATACAGTGAAATCTGAAGAAATCACAATACATGACAGTTTGACTGAAGACAGGCCAAACTCTGCTGGGTTCCATCCCATCCCATCCCACCTCATTTTGTGTCAGTCAAACTGAGGCATGATTTGGTCTCCTGTGTCCAATCACTGCAAATATTACATAAATTAATTTTAAAAACAGATTTAGTATCTCGCATGATGATGTTCAACCTAACAGCAACAAAACATGAAGATAGCTGTTTAGTAAAGAAAAGAGTCTCTCAAATCTTGTTTAATTTTAGCTATTATTCCTTTCAAACAATGCATATTCGAAATGCAAACTTGAAGCAGAACAAGAGGGGCTTTCTACAATTGCATGAACAACATTTGCCTCTTTACCCCCGTCTGTTATCTGCATGGTCTTATTCAAATATTAATTATGCCAATGTACTTTCATTCCCTTTTGTACAATGGTGAACCTATGACTGCATGGTCTTAATACACTTCCTGCAGTTGGAATAGCATTTTTCACCAGCTTCATGGTGCAGGCAGCTCATCTTACACCATCTGAAATCCACAAGGCATTTTCTACTCGCTTCAGAGCAGAAGGATGATAATAGACAGCAGGTATAATCCTTGGTAAGACTTAAAGTAGAAGAAAGCTGTTGAAGAAATTCATGCCGAACTGCACAATGGAAAGGAACTAAATAATGAGTCCTTCAGGCCCACCAAGTAAACAGGAAAAACATGGAGAGTTAATTCTGAAATGAACATGCAGAAAAGGGAGATTTGGGAAAACAGCAGGTCTTTCCTAGTTGTGTAGCCTGAAAATGCTGCATTTTATGGAAGTATTTTATTTCATATGTGGCTTATCTTCATATGGTTTGGTGATAAAAGGAAAAGTTGATCTATAAGTATTTTCACAGAAAATTACACGGGTTTACAAAAATAACATTAAAAAACCATATATATATTACCAAATTCAAAAATTTTCATTTACAATAAAATAAAATGCTTACCGCATTGCTGTTTGTGCTACATGCCACATAAGTGACAAATATACTGCAGAGTTTCACCTGCATGGCAAGTCTAACTACTTCATAGTAAGTATACTGTAAGAATGAATATTCAGTAGAGCCTTCTAATAATATGAATTTTATTGTGATAAGTGCCTGACTTTTTAGTTATATTCTAACTGTATTTTCCTTAGTGCTTTTACTAAAATTTTCTAGTGTCATTTTCTTCTTTTGAAAAAGGTTCAAAAATAAAATGTCGCAAACACAGATAACAGCGCAAAAAGATCATTTCACCTAATGGGATTTTTTTTAGAGAGCAATATGTAGGAATTCCTAATTTTACAACTTCTGAGATGCAAACTTAACTCTACTGAGGGGGTGCAGACATTGACTTTAATAGGGCCAATATTTCAATCTTGGAAGAATGGACATAGTTGCTGGGCTCTGGATTTCCTTTCATAAAGTCAAAGCTAGAAGAGACCATTATAATTATCTACAGAGACCTTTCATATCATTTAGGCTAAGTGCTTCATCAGGTAGTTCTTTCTGCATTAAGCCAAATTACTGTTGAACTCAAGTGTGTGAGTTTTGCCATAACAACAATAAAAAAGTAAATATTTCAAGTTGTGCAGATCCTACCTTATCTGAGTATATTTTACTAATAGAAATTATTCTCACTGTCAAAATCATGTTCCTGACCTGTAGTCTTAAAAAATTGCACTTCATTTTGACTTGGTGTGTTAAAATAGAAAGCCCTTTGCTATTAACTTCTTCTTTCAACTTGCATACTTACAGACAGACCTTTCTCTCTTCTGTATTATGTACTATACAGATACAGTGGGACCGAGTTCCTCGGGTGCTACTGCAGGTAATATAATTAACTGTATTAACAAAGGGCCTCGCCCCCAGCACAGGCAGACAAACCTATGCTTCTTCAGCAATAAGCCTAATTATTCCCTGTGCTGTACAATCAGCCCATTTTTTAAAGTTAATATGGTTAGATTTTGATTCAGGTTAATACTTGGAATTCTGTGTAGCATTCACATAAACACGGAAAGTGCAGTTTGCCCTCCATACCCATAGAAATCTAGATTTGATCTTGACAAATGTAGTCTGTAACTTTTCATTGATATGAAAGATTGAGCTAACCAGGGGCTAGTTATCCACCCTTGCTTCCATTCTCGCTTAAATTAGATACAGATGCAAAGTGCCTTGTAGTCAGACCTTACAAGTTCTTTGTAACCTTTTTACTTTTAAAATGCTGCACAGACTGACAAGTTATTAATATTAGGACAATTTTTATAGCATAACTTAAAGAGTACAGAAAAGAATATGCCTAACATAATGTAAGAAAAAATATATAGTTTATTGGCATGCATGTACATCTTAAACCTTAACCGTACTTGAACAGCACAGAAAGGAGAACAAAAATATCGTTAAATGAAAGCCAAGAGAAATGAGTTGCCTTCCCTAAATACCTAACAGCAATGCCAGAGCCCACGTTGATTTACAAGTCATCTCTCTTCAGCAACTTGGGTTTCATCTACAGCCACAACATTAAGGATGTGGACTTTCAAAACCAAACATAATAGCTCTGCAGGTTAACTCCTTTGACAATTGGTGGTCTATATGATGCTGCTCACAGACCTGGGTACTTCAAAAGAACAGTACAGCTCCAAGCTTCAGAAGGCAAGTAGGTTTTCTACAAAAATCATTCTTGGAAGTTGTTAGAAAATCTCCTGCTTTTGGACTACAAAGAGAGTCAATTAGAAGATTAGAAGTATTAGAATTATTTTCTCTTTGCAAAATAATTACATGAAAGACAGTCTGTTTTAGACAGTGATACCCATTTCCAAATGTCCT